GTTACGTAAGTTACGTAATGAGTTTTAAGTGACAAAACTGGAATTCTTCTAAATTGCCTGCAAGTCAAACATAGCCCATGGACTTTGCTGTACAGCAGTTTTAAATAGGATTCGTTCCTTTTCTGCAGATGCCACTTAGATCACACACAAGCTGCATGCTTGGAATGAATATGACCTACATCACTGAAGGGAACTGTTCCTCCGCAGGATTAGATCCTACACACTTGGCCATGAAGATAATAAGTAATCTGCTCTAAATTACTGACAAAGTGAACAAGCGCCCCCTCCTATCCCCTGCCCAGTGAACTCGTCTAAAGGGAACTATTATCAAAAACAAAACAAATGCAAAAGTAGTTCCTGTATATTCTGTAGAGACAAAACTTCTCCCATACAAGGAACATGGTGCAAGGAACTCCTCCTCTTTGCCAAAGGAAGACTGATCACTTGACAAGGTGTGAAGTCACGCAGGCATGAATGACTAACACATCTATATATCAAACTCTATCAAGACATACACCTACATCAGTTGTATGTAGTTTTACAGATAAAACCCAACAAAGAACATGTTTAATCTCACTTCCTGTGTTCAAACTATAATTACCTTTCATCTAATTTACAGTTATAATTGTCTAAATCAGTTTCCATGCAGGACAATCAGAAAACAAAGATGTCAGCAGCCACTGACATGTTGATAGAAATGACTCACCTAGAACAACATGGGAATGCTGTTCTGAGCAGAACAGGGATCAAACATAGCACCAATATGGCTTTTAATTTTTCCATCTTTTTGTTCCAGCAAAACATCACCTCTTTCCCAGCACTCTTTCAACCAGCCTCTTCCTCATCTCTCTGTATGACCTCATGACTTCCTAAAACTATGTCCTTTACCTTTCCCCCTGCCTTTTGCCACTCTGTGCATCCTTAAACTGGCTCTTCAAATTCTTCTTAGACACATCTATGTTTTAATTCTACCTTACTCAGCTTCAGATTTTACCCTCCCTCACAGCGCCCAGGCTTAGCAAAAGGCAGACACAATTCAAGCAAGATAAACTGATGTTTGGCAAAGCAGAAACTTGCAAGAGGAAATACAAAGCAATCTCTGCCAGAGATGCCACTGCCACACTGAGCACTTTGCTGTCACCTCCAAAAGGAACAAAATAGCCCAGGTTCTCTTCCCTTGCAGAAGAGGAGAGGCAGGAATAACACAACATTGCAAAGTTTGCTATGCCTTCCTTGTTCTCTAGACCAGCCTGCAATAAATACATTGTAATTCCTTTCATTCAGAGAAGTCCATGACTTCAGAAAATTTACACCAGGTTTTACAGTCCCAAACAAGCCAAATGCTTGAAGAGCTGATACCGCGATCAGAGTTCACCACCAACACTCCTGCTAATCCAGAGAGCACAGTGGGAGTGAGAAAGCAGGCACAATATGCTGGCACACTGGCCACTTGAGAGCTCTCCCAGAGCTGGGGACACTTGAACTGGCTAAAGTCAGCCTGGGTCCCGATCACTTGGGTCCTCTGCAAGAGTACAAAGAAGCCTCCAAGAGATAGCTCCAGCTCCATCAATCTTTTGTTGTTACACTAAACATAAAAGTGCTGTCCAGGCTGCATGGAAAGGACCCAAATATTCGGTAATTTATTTTAACATAACTGTTAAAAGTGAAAAAAAGAAGCAGCAGTAGGAGTCCAGTCATTACACAGGTACAAGAAAATCCAGTGGCACCGGGAGTTTCCACAAACAAAGGATTTCCCACAGTCTATTGTTGGAAACAGGGTGATTCAACTGCTCATTTCTTGCTCAACAGGCTGCTGATTCTACCAGAAGAGGATGCTGGTGTGTTCCACCTTCTGCTTTCCACCTACTGAGCCTCCATCAGTAAAAACCCTGCCTTTTAAAAACATGTGACTATTTCATGCTAGTTAATAGTTGTACTTTTGTTGTACAGTATCACCTTTTTGTCAATGGCATTTAAAGGTACACATAATAAAACAATAAACTAGGAATTTTAACTGCCTCTGTAACCTTATCTTACTAACATCCAGTTGGACATTTCACTACAGGCTAGCGATCAGAAGGCGAAACACAGAATACAACACCCTTTCAGACCCACTGCTGCACGAGGCAACTAAAGACCAGAAAAAATGACAACATACAAACTCACAAAATAATCATATAAAATAGGTTTTGCAGCTTCAGATAAATACTGTTAACACTGCATATGAAAAACACTGCTTGTGACAATGGATGACCTGCTGCAGCTCCCCAGAGAAAGCCCTCAGGTCAGGAATTCACATGGAAGCAGGGAGCAAGCCAGTGGAGGCTATTTTAAACCAGAGCCTTTAAACAGCTACCTCCAGGTGCAGCCCTAAATTCAGCAACGGTTTCTGTTTCCCAGAAGTGGACTTTAAGCTGTCTCTGACAAGTAGCTGGGGATGCCCTGCGCAGTTCCAAGGCATGGCACATACCTATCCTCCCAAAACAAAGCACTAGCTGTTATTTTTCGGAGAACAGAATGTATCTGTTCTACTGCAGAAGTTTATTTCTCTACTCTTACTAATAAAGGCTTGCTCAGGATCCTGGCAGTGGAAAGTACAGAGAATTCCCTAAAGCAAGGTATGAAGCAGAGATAGGAGAAGTGTGGCTAGAGGCTAATAGATTAGCCATTATTGACTTTATAATCCACATAGACTCTTAAATGTGTTAAATGTCTTGGAGCTGCACTTTTAAAATGTTAGAAATGAAAGAACTGGGAAGAAGCTTGTTTTAGCAAAGCAAGGAGGAGTGTCTGACACTTAAATGTCACACATAAATGAGCTACATTAGGGAAAAGGGAGGAAAAATAAAAACCAGCCCTTCCAGGACTTCATATTTTTTGCACACAGGCATAGATATGCACACAGCAGATACTGTTGAATCCAGTCTTAAAAGTCATGAATGTATCATTGCCCTACTTACACCCACAAAAATACCTTAAGTTAAACCTGTGCTTAACTTAAAAGATCCTTTGTGAACGCATCTGAAGTAAACAGGATTTGTGCTTTGATGGTGAAAGCATGGGCTTAATCTTTATATTCCTGAGGATGAAGAAAGTGTCTTGCTTATACACAGGAACAATAAAAGAAGTCACACTGTTGAAAATCACTTGAAACAATAACACATCACTTAGTTAATAGCTTGCAATCAAAACATAAACCTACTGTATTTCACTCAAGTCTGGATACACATCATTAATCTCTAATAGTGTGAGGACTATGTTATGTTTTACTAAGAATGCTTTAAAAACCATGGATAGTCCAAATAAAAGGAAAAAGTTCTGATCCATCCAGTTGCTGACAAGTATAAACGTGGCGGTCTGCAATTATGGTCACATCTGAGTTGAAATGTGCATTTAAAGACTGCATGGGGAATACTGTACTTAATGCTGTCCTACATCTGCTGATGTAGACACAGGTTTTGACTCCTTTTAAACATGTAATATTTAATTATTTGAATGAAGATTTCTCAGTTAAGTGTCTGACTCAGGGTGATTTAAAAGATTTATTGAAGGAAAACCTTTCCATGAAATAAATCCCACGTAGGCATTACTCAGAGTAGAATTAGTGGAAAACAAATTGCTTTGCTCTCCTGATTTTGTTTTAAAAATAGCAAAAAAGCAATAGCAAGACAGATTTCATTGAAAAGCTCAACACACTTCAGAACACTGATTTCACATCTTCAAGGGAAATCAGGGGTTTGCCTTTTTGATGTAAATCCATACAAAACTGACACCTGAAAGTCTATTTGCAGCCACTAAAAATCAGTCACTTTGAAAGCTGCATTCTCCAAGCATGATGTGGCCCAAAAAAAGCGAAGCGATCAAGTGCAGAGTGCACTGAAACCGTCCGTTTCAACACCTGGATCTGCCGGGGAGCCTACACTTCCAACACCTGCCTGCCAATGGCCAGGCTGCGAGCGTCAGCAAGGAGCAAACTCGGGAGCCGTTTCCAGAGCGGTCAGGGAAGGACAGAAGCAGCGGCCGCGCACTGGAACCGCGGTAAGGGGGTTACAGAGCCGAGTCCGACAGCCCGGGACCGACAACGAGGGGTTGACAGGAGCGCCGTGAGGCACCATGAGGGGACGGCGGCGCGGGAACGGTGCTGACGGGGGGATGCGTGCGAGCACCACAGAGTCGAGCACGCGGCCGCGCACCGGGCAGCCCCGCGCCGCACACCGCGGCCCGCGGGGAGCGCAACCGCGGCGCCCCCTAGTGGCCAGTGCTGCGGCCGCCCCGCCGCGCCCCGGCCCTCTGCCGCGAACGGCAGAACGGGAGGAACGCTCCGAACGCTGGGCTCTGCTGCCTGACCCACGGCGTCCTCCCTCAGCCCGGTCTGCTGATGGAAAGGGGATTCCCAACGCGTGCTCCCCACGCTCCATGCACGTCGCCCCGGCAACTGCCATCACGCTCAACGAGCCAGCAACCCCCAAACGTGCCGGAATGAGACAGCTCTTGCACATACGGGCAGTCAGGGAGCAAGTGAGACCCTTGATGACTGAGCAAACGATTAAGAAGCTCACCCTTTATTAAGCACCAGGACATTCATACAGCAGGTAGGCTTTGGAAACCAGGTTCTGGAAACCAGGCTCCCACTGCCACAACCACTTTATTCCTGAAATCAGCTGCCTCATTCATTATGCAGCTTCCATCCTCCGCAGTACACGAAGCAGGTACCAGCTGAGACTATGGTGTCTTAACTACAGATCCCCAGTCATCCCCAAAGCACTGCTCATCCCATATCCCAACAGGTACAGGAGTTTTGTGGGGAGCAATTAGAAACTGCATCACACAGCATGCGAGCTGGTTAGAAAAATTAACAGTTGTACTGGCAACTTCAGTACTTTATGACTGTCAAAGATGTCCCTTCCTATGTATTATTTTAATGTAACATTTGTATCTATTGAAAGATAATGTTTAAATAAGGACATGCTTTCGTAACTTTGGCATAAGTGGCAGTTTACCTGATTCACCGTTTCTTCAATTGCCCTCATATAATGATTAAGTTCTCTGTCCATTGCAGCATATTCTATCATGACTTTCTCCATGCTGTTAACATCCTCTACATCATCTGCAAAACAAAAAATATTGTACATGGATGATCAGTTACATTGTTTTTAGGCAGCATTTTTTCTTTGCAGATATAGAGACAAGTATTAATGCCGCAAATATCTAAAGCATCTGTAAGGCACGGCAGGTGCTTTCAAACTCTTCGGCATTACTTTTTGCCTATTTTGCAGCTGTGGACCTTGCCATTTCTTGGGTAACTTGAACAAACAGCTTACTCAGAAAGACACTTCCCTGGTTTCATGTGAACAAGAGAGAGTGTGTGTGATTTCATCTACCAACACCTAGTCATTAGGCAATCGGGATATTTTCTGCAAAAGTTATATTTCATGACTCATCACACTGCCTCAGAAATAGTCAGAAGAGACTTAAATGCCCTCTCAGTACAGTATAGTTCAGAGCTATAATTAGACCCCTTATCCCCAATAAACATAGTTACTGAAAAATCAAAACAGAGCCAGCATTTTATAACACAGGAAATAATGGGATACTGAATAGCATTGGTGAATCAAGCAGTAAAATTTTAATTGCCAGTGAAAATCAATGAACACCGGACATGTGCTTAGTAATTCACATCCACTTTTATTCTCTTCTGCATTTCTCCTAATCTCACTCCTTTCCTCTCTAACTACACCTCTGCTTTCCCATTCTAATGTTGCTGTGCATCTACTTAGCTGGATAAGGACCCTTCATAGATGCTACAGGGCTGAACAGCCACAGCTGTATCTCCTGACACATGCATGTACCACACTGAACACTGCCAGCTGCAGGAGGACTGCCAGCCATGAGCCCCTCACCCTTAGAAATTAGAAACACAAGTTTCTGCTCCTCCTGCTCCCATTATTCCTACCCTGCAGTTCCAGGTAAAGAGAAAACAGCAGAAAGCAGCTGGAAGCTGTGAAAGAGCCCCAAAATCTGCCATGCACCATTAGGAGTTGCAATTTCATGGAGTATTCTTCTTTAAAACGAGTTTAAGTAGCCAATCTGTGCTGTTAATTTGAGGCAGAAAATCATGGTAGAGCTTTTTAAATTAGTTTTGTTTGTGAAGAAAATGTCTTCTGATCTGGCAAGCTAGTGCGCTTCCTAAGCTGCTAACTATATTAATATGCTAGAGCACAGAAATCTCTCTCTGCAGAAAGCTGACATAAAGCATTGTATACGGCCGTCTCAGCTTGAGGGCAAAATCTGATGTGTTGCTGAAACACATCACCGAGGGAAAGGAGCTTCTCACCATATGAAAAAAAAGATGCATCCAGGAGACAGAAGGAAAGGCGCTAAGATGTATTTACACCAAAAAGTTACATAATAAGCCATACTATTTTGTGAACATGGCAATTAGAGTCATGATGTTTCCCTTAATTAGATACAGGCTTGGTATGTATCCATTTTTCATTAAGCAGATGAATGGATGGTGCAGACACAATCTTGGCATTCCTGCAGTTTTCTTCTGAATAATCAGCATTTCCCTCTCCCTTTTCCCTTCCCTCCCACCCAATTTCCATATCCTATCGGGTAACTATGATCATGCTCTTTTTCCTTCCTGCTAGGAAGCATATGAAGTGCCTCCTTCAAGGCTGACACAAATGGCACTCCATGAATCACAGGAAAGGTTTGTGTAGCAAGGAACTGTCATTCTCCTCCCATGGTCAAAATGAATCATATCCACGACATAAGGAAAGTACTGTGGCCTAAATCTTTTATTTTTCAGGGGAAGAGAAGTGCACTGTTAAACACCAAGAGAGCTGTATCAACGCCCTCTTTCCTAAAAGTTACAAAAAGCTTTAGGTAAAGAATAATAATGTTACAACTTGAGAGATGCATTAAAATAAAGCTCAAAGGGGTGGAACAGAGCTCAGGTATGAGGGATATTAGCTGTAAATACATCCTGCCCTACATTCTTCATGTACTGACCATTCCACCTATCCACTGGCTTGTTTTAAGTCCCTGTGATGTTCAGTGCTGTTTCCCATTGCTATTCTTTTATGCACATGAAGTATGTCATACATACTGGAAAACTGCTGAATGTGTCACTAACACATGATCATAGCCTGCCCTTGAAGGCGTTATGGACATAAAGATAGATCTGAAGGACTGTATACAGGTCAGCTGTTCTCCATCTCCTATTTCTGCTCTTTGACAGGTATTAGAGTCCATTTTCTATCTGCAGTTCAATCCATAGTCCAAAGTGCTGAAAGCTAAGAGAAAATGTCTCATGTTGTTCCCACCCACTTACCTCCCCATGTCCTAAACAACATTTAAAAGAAAACTTACATTACAGGCTATTCTACTTGTCTTTAAAAACCTCTCCTTGTCTCACATTACACACTGCAATAACCTGCTGAGCATGGCTGCTCTGCTCCCACCACGCTCTCCCTTCCCCTGATGAGCTCAGAGCACTTCTGCTCCTCCCTGGTAAGGAGCAGATGCAGAGCAGAGCTTAGGTGCACATGATAACAAGCCGTGGGTGACTGCGTGGGGATATAAAGTTTTACAGCTCATCAAGGCAGGGATCCCAGCACCTTCAACGTTTCCTTACAACAGACTTCACCACAGATTTATCAGAACACACCCGCTGACCTGATCTTACCGGGGAACAAGAAATGAGGGAAAAGAAAAAGTATCTAGATTAGATACAAGGAAAAAGTTCTTCCCTGTGAGGGTGCTGAGGCACTGGCACAGGGCCCCCAGAGAAGCTGTGGCTGCCTCATCCCTGGAAGTGCTCAAGGCCAGGTTGGACAGGGCTTGGAGCAACCTGCTCTAGCGGAAGGTGTCCCTGCCCATGGCAGCGGGTTGGAACTCGATGAGATTTAATGTCCATTCCAACTCAAAACATTCTATGATTCTAAAGATGTATCGCCCCTCTCTACCTTCCTACAACTCACTCTCCCAAATCCCACCAACCCATTAGCTTAACAGCACTACAATATTAAGAAGCATCAAAATTTAATAATCATATCAAGCTTTTGAAAGATTCAACAGGCACTGTCCATTATGCACTCTGCAAGCCCTGCTGCTACTTTTATTTCAGTTGCAGGGAGGGCAGTAGAGATTGATGGTAAAGAGATTCAAAGCACAGTCTTCCAGCAGACTGCAACCACATTATCTGCTGAATAGCCTCCAGCCAGACTCCAGCTACAAAGCCAGCTAACTCTCCAAAGTACTCAAACCTTGCACTCTGCAGGCCAACAACCTAGCTCAACATCAAAATCAAAGGCTGGATCAGTGCCTTTCTGTTATCTGATCAAAATTTATCCTAATCTTGTTTCTAATTCATATCTTAGGAATGCATTCCAAACCCTCTGCATCTGCTTTTAGCTACTGCCACAAAATACCATCAAAGTTGCATACTATAGTTAAGTCTCCTTGTTATCTAGGCTAAATATGTTGAGTTTAGTAAGCGTTTCTCCACAAGTCCTTATCCTCACCACCCAGAGATTATACATTTTGCAATATTATATCTTTTACTCACAGAAAGCCCAGTTCAAGGCCATAATTGTCATTTTCAAAGGCGCACGTGCATCATCTTAAAATTAGCTGACTGAATATGGACGCTTCATGAATTCCAGCTTGCAGGACTTTATGATCCCTTTTCATCATGGAAACAAGGATACTATTCTGAAAAGTCTTCCCAGATATTAAATAACAAAATTACATAAAGACACTAGCAAGAGTTCAATTTCTCATTTCCAGTGAGACCAAACTGATCATGCTCAGCTGCTTTGTTGCTGATTCAAACTGAAATCAATCAGGGCTGGGTTACATATTATGAACCCCGCAGTGTTAAAACAGAAATCGCAATAACAGAATAGAGTCAAGTCAGTGCTGGTTTAATACTCCCTGTATTAACACTCTCCTAAAATGCCAACCGCTTTTCCAGAACTTGCATTTCCTTCTAACGTGCGAGTTCTTATTTACTTGAGTTCCCTGTACACATCCACAAGCCAACACAACTTCTCAAGATTTATCAGAAGTACCTCTTTTTCTCTGCAAAAGTTACAACATCGGTATTTGCTTATTTAGGGTATTACAGCTGTCCTGCAGCCAACAGAAGCAGCCTGTGGTGGAAGTGAGTATCTCAAACACAAAATAGTCTGGAATACCATAAAATTACAGGAAAGATCTAAGTCTACAAATATAACAGTCCTTAAAGTGAATGTTTAAGCACAGACAACACGGATTAACATAAATACATCTATAAACACTCTCGTATCTTTACAGTATTGGCTAACAAAAGTTAAACTTTCAATGTAAAGAAAACAGGACAGTCAGTTATGCCTCTTGTACTACATATTAGATCAATTTGACTTTCAAAGCTACACACTGTTTTTTCTATCAGGCTCTCCCAGCGCTCAAGGCAGAGGAGGAATGGTGTACCATTGCCCATAAATTTTGACAGTAGATTTCAGACTTTTAAAACACATGTAACACAAACATCTGTCACTTGAGCCAATAGCAACAGCAGTAGTAGGCAGTTGTCTTCATACGCACCAGGAGCAGATAAAATACACACTTTGCCAGCAGGTTTCACGTTACTGCTGACAGCAGAGGAACACAAGCTCCCCAACTCTTTGATTTAGCTCCATGCTCTGGAGGAGAACGTACATTCTTCATTCAGGATACAGCTAAGCATTTTTGTTGTTGTTTTTAGCAAGTACTTCATTTTCAACACCAAAAGTGCAAAGACACCCTCTGTGCCCCCAGTTTTGGTCTATTCAAAACTGTCGGTAATTCAAGTTGGACAATACATCTTGAGAAAAACCATCAAACAACCCACTCTCTTTAGGAACAGATTCACAAAACACTTGGAAAAGACAGCAGCAAGATATCCCTCTACTGTCTAGATGCTCAGGAAGTGAGAGGACACAGGCCTATGTAGGAGACCACTGCATGTTTCCCTCCATCTACAGATGCGTGAACCCCACCACAGTACTTCAGCCTATACAGACCAAGAGAAACTTGAGGAGACTGCTTCTGCAGCACCAAGGGTGCATTTTCATTTCTCCT